AGCATCAATATCCTCAATCCTCCCATCCATCCTCTTAAGGTCGGCGATTTTCTTATCAAGGACCTCATCGATGGCTTTCAACCCCAGGGGAGCTCCTAGGAGTGTGCTGTCTTCAGGTTTAGTTTTATGGATATTTGGCAGAAGACCCTCTATTCTCTCTACGATGCCTTGGTTGGAACATATTATTTCACATTTAGAAGGGTTCAGGGTGAGGCCTAAAACTTATTTTTAAGGCCTAATTAGGCCTAATTATTTTTATCAATTTTTATTATATATATATATATATATATTATATATATATATATATATATATATATATATATTATATATATACATATTATATATAAATATATATATATATATATATATATATATATATATATATATATATATATATATTTATTTATTTATTTATTTATTTATTTAGATACACAACACAAACAATAAGCATATTACCGAACATTCTGAGTGATAAACATATACAGACGAGGAGTCACAATAACGTGGCTGAAATATGTCGACCAAACCACACACTAGAAAGTGAAGGAACGACGACGTTTAGGTCCGTCCTGGACCATTCTCAAGTCTACTGTCAATCCAGGACCATTGAGAATGGTCCAAGACGGACCGAAACGTCGTCGTCCCTTCACTTTCTAGTGTGTAGTTTGGTCAACGATAAACATACATTTCTTAAGTGCTTTATAAGTACTGAAGGACACTGGAGGTCCGGGCGTACTACAGAGCCTTCTATAAGTGAAGCTGTGTGCCAAGGTTACGGAACTCTTGACGTTGTATGAGGCTATGTTTGCTTTGTTTATTCTACCATTTGTCTGAATTGTTTGTATTCCTGTTCTATTATTCCGGAGTGTGTCAGTAGTCTGCAGACAGCCGTATGTTGGACTCGGCGCTTGTCGAGGGATATTGGCTCCGGGTTTGTTGAAGCAATGTGTATTATTTCGAACATTTCTTTTTATCAATTGGTTTTCAAAGTTGTTTAAGTTGTTGTCGCCGAGGCTCCGACGTCCAGCAACGTGTTTAAGTGTCCTGGTTGGCACATTATTTGAGTCGTCTGACCCGATTGATTGATGACTGGTAAAGATTAAGTCACCTAATAGGTGGCACGGGCATGAATAGCCCGTAATCGTCTGATCCGCATATGTGATGTATATATGGACGGGGTGGTCAGATGTGTATATGTGTGGTAGTACAGTCGGGTTCGTTCTCGACGTACAATTGAGAATTCCGGGTTCAAATCCTGGGCGGCACAGAAATGGTTGGGCACATTTCCTTTCACCTAATGCCTCTGTTCACCTAGCAGTGAGTGGGTACTCAGGAGTTAGTCAGCTTGTTGCGGGGTTCCATCCTGGGCCTTGGGGGAAGGGGACCTTGATAAAAGCCAAACGTGTATGAATACACTCTGGCTTCCTGTCCCCCGGCACAAAGAATTATGAATAAATTATATTGGAAAGAGTGGGGGACAGGCAGCTTCCTGGTGACACTCCACTTTTAGTGCGATCTCGTCTACCACGAGCTCAGAGATCAGGGGAGATCTCGTCTGCCACGAGCTCAGGGATCAGGGGAGATCTCGTCTCCCACGAGCTCAGGGATCAGGGGAGATCTCGTCTCCCACGAGCTCAGCTCAGAGATCAGGGGAGATCTCGTCTGCCACGAGCTCAGGGATCAGGGGAGATCTCGTCTGCCACGAGCTCAGGGATCAGGGGAGATCTCGTCTCCCACGAGCTCAGTGATCAGGGGAGATCTCGTCTGCCACGAGCTCAGGGATCAGGGGAGATTCTCGTCTGCCACGAAGCTCAGGGATCAGGGGGGAGATCTCGTCTCCCACGAGCTCAGAGATCAGGGGAGATCTCGTCTCCCACGAGCTCAGGGATCAGGGGAGATCTCGTCTGCCACGAGCTCAGGGATCAGGGGAGATCTCGTCTCCCACGAGCTCAGGGATCAGGGGAGATCTCGTCTCCCACGAGCTCAGAGATCAGGGGAGATCTCGTCTGCCACGAGCTCAGGGATCAGGGGAGATCTCGTCTCCCACGAGCTCAGGGATCAGGGGAGATCTCGTCTGCCACGAGCTCAGGGATCAGGGGAGATCTCGTCTCCCACGAGCTCAGGGATCAGGGGAGATCTCGTCTCCCATGAGCTCAGGGACCAGGCGAGATCTCGTCTCCCACGTAGCTGCCAATCCTGATCGTGGCTGTTATCGTATCGCTTGAGCTGAACAGCATGGCAGTGAATCTCTGCACGAGACCAAAATGTAAACCAGTCTATCTCGAAAGCTGTCGAAACATCTCTGGGATGTAGGTTAGCCCTAAATCTCTACCCAATAGGGAGCCGGTGGCTGAGCGGACAGAACACTGGTCGCGTGATCCTGTGATCCCGGGAGGTCAGAGTTTCTTTCACCCTGATGCCCCTGTTACCTAGCAGTAAATAGGTACCTGGGAGTTAGTCAGCTGTCACGGGCTGCTTCTTGGGGGTGGAGGCTGATCGAGGACCGGGCCGCGGGGACACTAAAGCCCCGAAATCATCTCAAGATAGCCCAACCTCTTGGGCTGGACGGTAAAGCGGTTTCCCTTCATGCAGGTCGGCGTTTAATCTCCGACCGTCCAAGTGGTTGGGCACCATTCTTTTCCCCCCGTCCCATCCCTAATCCTCCTTATCCTGACCCTTTCCAAGTGCTATATAGTCGTCATGGCTTGGCGCTTCCCCGTAATATTTCCCTACCTTCCTTCTGTGGTTGTCTGATCCTACACTTGTGCTCCTCTTCCATGTACGTCACCTGTCAGTGATTCCGTTATCTTGAGTTGATTTCGGGGCTTTGTTTTTAGTGTCCCCGCGGCCCGGTCCTCGACCAGGCCTCCACCCCCAGGAAGCAGCCCGTGACAGCAGACTAACTCCCAGGTACCTATCTACTACTAGGTAACAGGGGCATAGGGTGAAAGAAACTCTGCCCATCGTTTCTCGCTGGCGCCCTGGATCGAACCCGGGACCACAGGATCACAAGTCCAGTGTGCTGTCCGCTCGGCCGACCAGCTCCTACCCAGTGATTGATTATTTTGTCGAATATTTCACCTGTTATCTCGAGCAAGGAAATGGGTATGTAATTTGCCGTTTGAATTGGGATTTAATTCTGGCGTAGGTTTAGGTTATCAGGTTTAGCAGTAAAATAGGTACCTGGGTGTTAGTCAGCTGTCACGGGCTGCTTCCTGGGGGTGGAGGCCTGGTCGAGGACCGGGCCGCGGGGACACTAAAAAAAAAAAAATAGCCCCGAAATCATCTCAAGATAACCTCAAGATAGGGATTAATATAATAATGGAGTTCAGGTACTGAGCCCCATTATGCGCCTCTGTATCATTTCCACTGCTGCTCACGGAATGGGTATGGGGTGCATAATAAACAAAGTAAACTAATGGGATTGAAATAGGTGGGGAATAATCCGGAGGCCAGAGCTGCATTTAGTATCTGTGTATACAGATAATTGGCCTCACTGCAAGGTTTGTCAATACCAGTTTGTTTAATATGTTAATGCGCCGGAACCTAGCGTTTAAATAATCTGTTCTATGGACCTCTACGGCGAATATGGCGGCGTTTTTTGTGTATGTTGGTAAGGGCTATTAATTTTTTTTTTGCCTTGAGGGGCGAGTTTATTGGGCTATTGTTTGCGTTGGAAGAAAAGGTGCAGTTCTGTCTCAACAAGACTTTTGATGTTGCTTTCAGAAGCGACAGAGGGGCCTGACAGCTGAGTATACTTCGCTTCGGATTCGTAGTCCTGAGGTTCCGGCTTCGATCCCCGGTGAATCCAACAAATGGGCAAAGTTTCACCCTGATGCTCCTGTTCACCAAGCAGTAAATAGGTACCTCGGAGCTGCTTCGGGCTGCTTCCTGGGGAGTGGGGGTACTATCAGGTGAAAGCGCCAAGCGATTACAATTATAAAGCACTGGGAAGGGGTCAGGATGACGAGGGGGGGGGGGGAAAGGAATGGTGTCCAACCACTTGGACGGTCGGGGATTGAATGCCGACCTGCATGAAGCGAGACCGTCGTTCTACCGTCCAACCCATGTAGTTGGACCTGCTTCCTGGGGATGTGTAACAAAAAGGAGGCCTGGTCGAGGACCGGGCCGCGGGGATGCTAAGCCCCGAAATCATCTCAAGATGCAGTGTTGGGACAATACCTTACAATTATTGTCCCACAATCCTTCTGGCTGAGGGACGGGAGTAATAATGGGAACTTTGACAAGCCACCGGCTTCCTGTTCCCGTCGAGGCCACTAGAGCTGCAGACATGTCAGGAAAGGCAGCCTCGGGGGGGGAGGACAGGAAGTGATGTTAGGGTAACTTAGGTAAGGGGGAGGGAAGGGGGAGGGGGTCTCGACAACACTGAGGGAGGGGGGAGGCGAAGGATGGCGAGGGCGTGGGACTGATTACAAATCCAACGCTCCTGAAATAGATACTAGCTCGCCGTCACTAATAATCCTGCTACGCTGAACGTGTTAGTCGAGCGTAACGTGTAATTCGTGGCGTAAAACAAGTGACGTTCATGTTAGCGAAGGATGAAAAGGAAAGAGTAGTAGGGAGTTGGTGAGAGGGGGGGCAGGGGTGGTTGGGTGGAGAGGATGAGCTGGAGAAAGAGGGAGAAGGAAAAGTTGGATAAATGTCAGACGGAGGGAAAGATAAAGAGGAAGGAGAATAGGGAAAAAAATGTAAGTGGAATTATTACGCAACATACACAACATATTTAGGGTAATAGACGAGGTATAAAGGAGCCAGACCTCACTTCCCCATAGTCACTGTTAGGTAAGGAAAGGGAGAAGGAATAGGTGGATGAAGAGAGATCAACGGGGAAGGATTAGACGCATGTTGAGGAGGAGGAGGAATGGGGGGAGGGTGAGGGGAGGAGAGAGGAGGGAGGGGAAGAAGAAGAAGGAAGAGTAGGAGGAGGAGACTGAAGGAAACGGGGCAACAGTAGGTGGGGGTGAAGAGCAGAGAGGACCTCAGTTGGCCGTGTGTGGTGGCGGCGAGCGGGGGTGACCGTGTCTGTGTGTGTCGAGCCCCACGGCAAGTGTGTGTGAGTGTGTGTGCTGCTGTCGGCGGCACACTCTTGCCCTCTCTCTCTCTCCCTCTCCCTTGCTCCTCTCCCGTGTGCTGGTGGGAACCGCGAAGTGATGGTGGACTACCAGAGATGATATAAGGCATGGTGTTGAGTCGCAGAAGCAACAGGGGCATGACTTCAGTTCGATTAGAAGGTAAGTCCGTCGCTAGATTAGTTCATTCCTTGCTGAGGGTATGGGGCGAGATTAGTTCATTCTGAGTAAAGGGTGGGGGGTGAGATTAGTTCCTTCTCAACAGAGGGAATGGGGCGAGATTAGTTCATTCTGAGTAGAGGGCATGGGGTGAGATTAGTTCATTCCGAGTAGAGGGCATGGGGAGAGATTAGTTCATTCCGAACAGAGGGTTTGGGGCGAGATTAGTTTATTCCGAGCAGAGGGTATGGAGTGAGATTATCTCTTTCCGAACAGAGGTTATAAGGACGATATTCTTTAATTGTGAACAGAACAACATTAAAATATGTCCCATATGATACACAAACAAACACTGACCAAATCTCATCATGATAACAAAGATTAAATAGTAATAACAAATATAAAAAGGAAATGTAAGCTGTTTAGCGCTAAGAACACATTAATTGTTCAATTCTTGAACCCATTATGTGACTAACTTTTCTGTCACCTCCCGGCAAGGACCGGGATGAGGCCCATAATAAACTATGTAAACACAGCATTATTAGGCCTATAGGTCCATGCTAGAAAGCATTTCCTCAATTTATCTTGATTCGTCATCTGTTCTTGCCTATAACCAGAGGTTTAATTGTTAGTGTTGTTTGCTTAAACTGTCTCATCACTGAACAAATACTGTCGAACCTTTAATGCTTTGCTAGACTATGCTCTCTAAATTAAAAACTGATTTAAAGTGAAAAATTTGTGACGAGTTTTGCCGTAATTTTGTTTTCAATATCGTATTTATATCCAGTTTATTGATGCATTCAATTGGAATTTCGAAGGGAGTATAAGACGAGAGTAAATTGAGTTTGTTTTTTGGGCATATCAACTGGATGAGGGTATTAAGGAAGTGACACAAGCTTACTGATTAACCGCCAAGTATACTTTAATTCTGAACACAGTCCAGGACTGAAGTAAACTGAGTGTACATACACTGAACGCGGAGTACAGTGTGCCCGTCACTGCTTGAGTTCATTGGACGCCAGCCCGGGTGATCGCAATACCACACTGGGGTAGCTAAGGTCAGTCAGTCGATACAAGAAGCAGCGTTGCTCAACACTGCTCCAACACTTTCTCTGAGCTTACCCAACACTGGTAAGTCCAGTAGAGCTTACGGGACAACGTCCAGTCCAGCACTTCATGCCCCGCCCACTCCTGTTGCACCTTCTACCTCCTTTGTAACTCAAGGTAGTAAATCTGAGACTATAGTCTCATCAGAATACCCTTGTGTTGATGGTGCGTGAAATCTATCCCCCATGTAACTTATTATCGATACGGTTTTCGTGAACATTAAGAGGGAAGCAATGGTGATATAGTACGTGTAGGGCGGGGCATTATATTTCTACTCTGTTTATGCTTCTCGGCCTTCTTTTGGAAGGTTTAAACGAGGCGCTGTTGGATTGTTTGGAGAGGCGAGGGAGAGAGGGGGAGAGGAGTGTGGCTGTGGTATGGCAGCGGTAGTATGGCAGGGTTACGGGTGGTATGTGGGCATGAGGGTCATGAGGGGAGGAGTCTGCAGTAGCGGGTGAGGCGGGAATGGTTGAAGTGACGAGGAAAAAGCTCTGGGGAAAGGATGAGGATAGGAGGCAGGGGATGGATGGGGGTCAGGGAAGTCTGGAGGGGCCGGGGATGGCAAGTAGGAGATGGTTGGGGCGGCTGGCAAAAAAAAAAACAAGTGTGTTAGGAGCCCCGTTGGGAAGCAGGGGTGTGGGGGGACGGTGGAGATCTAGCTGCATGATCTCACCACTGGTGTCCAAGGAACAATGTGTGCAACAAGTGGTCGTTGCTAGAGACAGTTTGTTTTTTGCCGTCACTATTCTCACTATTCTACCGCCCAGAGTGTTCTTATACCCAGGAAGGTATTCAAAAGTCTAGCAAGGTGTTCCTACACAATAGGTGCGTTTTTAATAATAATAATAATTCATTGTGCCGGGGGACAGGCAGCCGGTATATTTATACATGTTAGGCTTATATCGAGACACCCCCCCCCTCCCGCTTCCCAAGGGTCGACTTACTGACCCCGCCAAGAATGCAACTCCACAACAAGCTGCCTAACTCCTGGGTACCTTTTTACTGCTAGGTAAACAGGTGCATTATGTAATAAGAAAAGCGCCCAACTGTTTCTGTCCCGCCCGGGATTCGAACCCTGAATTCCCGACTGTGAGTAGAGAACGAACCCAGGTTGAGGTTACTGCACTCGCAGAGGGCATTCCTTTACCCCTGGGAGGCGCTGCTTCCTTCACTCGTGATCCTCTGCACATGGGGACGTTCCTCTGTACATGGGGACGTTCCTCTGTACATGGGGACGTTCCTCTGTACACTCTGTATATGGGGACGTTCCTCTGTACACTCTGTACATGGGGACGTTCCTTTGTACACTCTGTACATGGGGACGTTCCTCTGTACATTCTGCACATGGGGACGTTCCTCTGTACACACTGGACATGGAGACGTTCCTCTGTACACTCTGTACATGGAGACGTTCCTCTATACGCTCTGCACATGGGGACGTTCCTCTGTACACTCTGCACATGAGGACGTTCCTCTGTACACTCTGTACATGGGGACGTTCCTCTGTACACTCTGCACATGGGGACGTTCCTCTGTACACTCTGTACATGGGGACGTTCCTCTGTACACTCTGTACATGGGGACGTTCATGCACCCACATAAGTAATAATGTCCCCAAAAAATTCTGTAACTCTAAGGGTGACCCAACAGTCAGGAGGCTGACCCTACAGTAAGAGAATGTGACCCTACAGTAAGGGAATGTGACCCTACAGTAAGGGAATGTGACCCTATAGTAAGGGAATGTGACCCTACAGTAAGGGAATGTGACCCTACAGTAAGGGAATGTGACCCTTCAGTAAGGGAATGTGACCCTACAGTAAGGGAATGTGATCTTACAGTAAGGAATGTGACCCTACAGTAAGGAATGTGATCGTACAGTAAGGAATGTGACCCTACAGTAAGGGAATGTGACCCTACAGTAAGGAATGTGACCCTACAGTAAGGAATGTGATCCTACAGTAAGGAACGTGACCCTACAGTAAGGGAATGTGACCCTAGAGTAAGGAACGTGACTCTACAGTAAGGAACGTGACCCTACAGTAAGGGAATGTGACCCTACAGTAAGGAACGTGACCCTACAGTAAGGGAATGTGACCCTACAGTAAGGAACGTGACCCTACAGTAAGGAATGTGACCCTACAGTAAGGAATGTGATCCTACAGTAAGGAACGTGACCCTACAGTAAGGAACGTGACCCTACAGTAAGGGAATGTGACCCTAGAGTAAGGAACGTGACTCTACAGTAAGGAACGTGACCCTACAGTGAGGGAATGTGACCCTACAGTAAGGAACGTGACTCTACAGTAAGGAATGTGACCCTACAGTAATGAGTGTACCTTAACAATACCTTGTCAAGCACAACACGAAGCTGGAGAAAGTTCAGAGGTATGCCACTAGGCTAGTCCCAGAACTAAGAGGCATGAGTTACGAGGACAGGCTGCGTGAAATGCACCTTACGACACTGGAAGACAGAAGAGTAAGGGGAGACATGATCACTACCTACAAAATTCTCAGAGGAATTGACAGGTGTAGATAAGGATAAACTGTTTAACACGGCTGGTACGCAAACAAGGGGACACAAGTGGAAACTGAGTACACAAATGAGCCACAGAGACGTTAGAAAGAACTTCTTCAGTGTCAGAGTAGTTAACAAGTGGAATGTATTAGGCAGTGATGTGGTGGAGGCTGACTCCATGCACGGTTTCAAGTGTAGATATGATAGGGCCCAGTAGGCTCAGGAATATGTATATCAGTTGATTGACGGTTGAGAGGCGGGACCTAAGAGCCAAAGCTCAACTCCCGAAAGCAAACTAGGTGAGTACACACACATACTGTCCAAGTCGCCTCCGCCTTGGGACTGCTGAAGGCCCTCGGAAACCTATGATGGGTTCGTCACTGTTTCCAGCCGCGGACACTGCTACTGCTGCTCCCAGACACTGTAATCCGAGAACCTGTTGCTGGCTGTGGGGAAGATTGTCGCGTCAGTGACTGCAGAAGGAGGGGGAGGGTGATTGCGGGAGGGGAGGGGGGTGAAGTGAATTCCACTAGCTGAAAATCTTCCCTCCCGCCCCTTGCTAATTTAATTGTACGTGGTGCATTTTATTTTAAATTATTTTAGTTCATGTCATACCTGCTGTTGTGGAAGAGGAGCTGCAGCCGCTGAGAGACAGGTGCTGCAGCTGGCTGAGAGACAGGAGCTGCAGCCGCTGAGAGACAGGAGCTGCAGCCGCTGAGTGACAGGAGCTGCAGCCGCTGAGAGACAGGAGCTGCAGCCGCTGAGAGACAGGAGCTGCAGCCGCTGAGAGACAGGAGCTGCAGCCGCTGAGAGACAGGAGCTGCAGCCGCTGAGTGACAGGAGCTGCAGCCGCTGAGAGACAGGAGTTGCAGCCGCTGAGTGACAGGAGCTGCAGCCGCTGAGAGACAGGAGCTGCAGCTGAGAGACAGGAGCTGCAGCTGAGAGACAGGAGCTGCAGCCGCTGAGTGACAGGAGCTGCAGCCGCTGAGAGACAGGAGCTGCAGCTGGCTGAGAGACAGGAGCTGCAGCTGGCTGAGAGACAGGAGCTGCAGCTGGCTGAGAGACAGGAGCTGCAGCTGGCTGAGAGACAGGAGCTGCAGCTGGCTGAGAGACAGGTGCTACAGTCAATCACGGATTGGCTCCAAACACGAAAGATAATATTTTTCGAACAAAACATTAATATATTAATTGAATTTTTAATTTTGCCCCGGAGGGATAGTTTAGTGAGCAACATCACTCATGCAGTGAGTGAACATGCTACTAAACCACCACTCCCCAGTGGGAAGAAAACCCGCTGGGTTGTGTTAGTGATTGATGTGAAGTTTGGAACGTGGCGGTAAACAAAAATATATCAAGGTTGACAGTATTAGGAAGTGAGAGT